AAAATGCCAAAAAAATGAAAGTTATGAATGCTTTCCACAATGATAGTAAAATATGGGGACGTTATGTACTATTTACTCATATTTTAATGCCTAACTTTATAAAGGTCATTTCAAGTAAGGGTTCATATATATTTTAACCTTAAACGAACATTTCGAGTTGGAATTATTCCAAAAATTAATGGAACCTAATTTTTCCATTTACACGATGGATCATTCTTGTGGTACATCAAGGGGTACATCAGGATATCCATAATGGACACCGGCGCGCTCCCATTGGTGGGGGCGCATGTGGACACCTTGATGTACATGTACATCAAGAATTATCCTTACAAGATACCAGAAGTTAAAATGGATGATTTCGATTCTTGAAATACCATAGCCGAACCAGTTGACTTCCATCCCTAATTCCATTTTCTTCATACATTTATTGCTCTAAAATTTTGTCTAAAATCTCTCTTTATTCAAGAGTTCAATTAGAATAAATACTGTTCTGAATGATTAGTTCCATGGGAGATTGAAGAGCTACTTCTTTTAGGACGACAAAAAATCTTCTCCAACTTAATAGGCAATTGTTCAGCAAATTTGTGAACAAAATACAACATGAAGTCGTCCCTATAGTACTTTCAGTTCGATTTCATTTTTAAGAAATTACGCGAAATTGCAAAAACATTATTCCTTCCTTTTTATTTTCAAAAACAATATTTCAAATACTTAATTATTGGTATCACATATAACAATCTTTATGTAAAATTATTTGAAATAACTTTCTATTGTCATACTTCCACAATCAACAATTTTTTTTTCGGGTTTCCATTTTGAGCAGGGCTGCCCAAACATGAGCCCAATTTACCACAAATTTTGATATAGGCTTGATCACTTAGGCCCAACTTAGACACCCAATGTACCTTATTTTCGGCAATATGCAAATTTTGCGACTATTATACAATATATTGTGGACATATTTGATACATAATATTGATACAATACGATTGACCAAATTCTGACTTAGAGCCTGTTTGGTAGGGATTTTTGGAGGAAGAATTGATTTTTGAATAGTGATATGATGGAAAATGTGTAGTTGAAAAAGAATAAAAAATTATTGATGTGATGAAAAATATTATTTTATTGAAGAATGTGTGGTTGAAAATGAGAATTGATTTACTGTAGAAAATCAAAATCCATACCAAACAGGCCCTTAATACCAAATCAGATATCTCCCTGTGCGATCAAGACAAATTTATTAAAAAGACCAGATTTTTATCCAAATGAAATAGGTAGAAGTCGTCTTTTTACTAGGACGCGCACTATCATGGAAAGTGTCAAGTGGTGCCACACATAAAAATCTAGATAGATTGCCATACATTTATATTTTTCTCGATTTGGTGTTATTTATGTCACCCTTTACCGTACTTCTATTTGGGTCAATCCTCTTGGACCCACTAAACCCTAGAAAATAGGCCCAACCGATATTGTATTGAGCTAAAACCTTCGAAGCCCTAATAATAAATCCCTCACATGGAAGGCAATCACATGAAAGCACATAGTTTCTCAATCAACCACGTCCCAAAAACCTTCTTTTTTTTCAAAAAAATATAAATAAATAAATATATATATCTGTGTGTGTGTGTGTGTTTTATTGGAGGATCGGACCTGGAAGAAATCAGAGATGTACACCCGTGCACATGCAAAGCCATCGTCTTTTCATGTGATTCAATATTGAAATCCAAGATGCACACATTTGCACATGCAAATCCATTCTCTTCATACTGTTTCAACAAGCCAATGACACCATGACAACTTAAGAAGCTCTCGAAGTTTTTATAATGAAAGATGACATTTAGTTCATGCAATGAATGCAACTACTTAGTATTTACATAAAACTGTGTTATGTTATCGGTTTAGGACTCTCAAATGCATCTAAAATGCAGTATAAGATCAACATCTTGTTCAAACCCAGAGTAATCTGTCTAGATCCATGGAGTTTTACATTTTCCAGTTTGTTCATCCCCCGCTCCATAGGACCCGAGCAAGGGCCAAAGATCAACCGGGAGAGTGCACCATGATCTTTCATACAAGATCAAGGAGCACATGCAGTCCAAGTAGACGGAAGCCTGGTCGAAGTTAAAGGTGGCATGTTGCGTACATTCACGTCATGAGGCAGCAAACGGTATTCAATATCAAGCTCACGGAAAATTTTGACCATCTCCTCGACCAGAAGAGCTCTCCTTAACCACCTCTCACCCATATCCTGATGATTTATCGTGTGATTAGGCCACACCGACCATTTCAGCCTGTTCATGTCCTCCACGTCTCTTATGACTACCAGTGGAGCCGGATACCAGTGATCACTCCTGTTTTCAATATATCTGCATCGACCATAAAGCCATAAAACATGACATATTAGACTGATATCTAGTGTTAATTTTACAGTTAGCATAGAGAGATGGATAGCTTGTTCAAGGCAAGACTAAGAGCATAAAAACGTAAAAGTATTTTTTGATAAGTATAAAACTAAAAGAAGTAAGCTTTTGAATTAAAAGTTAATTACCTTTTCTTTTTCTAGTAAACACGTTTGCCACAAAAAAAAAAGGTTAAAAATAACTTTTGAGCTCAGAGCAATGTTCAAGACAGATTACGTTTCCATACATTTTTGGATACATGACATTTTTCTAACTTTAATGTAAAAGAAGTTAATTAATTTGAAGTAATTCTTACCTTACTATGGAAATACTTTCTTATTTCCAACTTTTTCAGTTCAAAAAAAAAAAATTATTATTTCAAAATAAACAGCCACTGTTTTGAGGTACATAAATACCAGGAAAAACAATTATACAGAATACTGGTACCTTGTTATTCTCTCCTTCATCAGTGCAATCTTTTCCCCTGGAGTTGAAACGTGGATAACAAAATCAATTGCATCCCCCATATCTGGACTGCGATAGTAATTACCGATGAACTTAGTGGATAAGACACTGTTTGGATAAAAAATCTTTTGATTATCAAACCTCAAAAAAACCGTAGTCAATATGTTCATCTCTTCAACTACCATCTGAAATGAAAATAAAACAGAAGTTATAAAAAGCACAAGCATAATAACAATGATGGTGGAATATGCTCACGTATAGATTCCAATGCAAACAAAATAATTTTGCATGCAAGAAATCTTACCTGAACTCCATCAATTTCAACACGATCACCCACATCAAATGGGTGCATCACAAATAAGAAGATAATAGCCTCAAACGTTGTCTTACATGTGTTCCCGAACATGAACACAACCAAAAGAAGCTGAGAGCTTAAGAAGATAAAGAAATGTGTGGTTGCAACTTTAAGTATAAGGAGCCAAATGATGACTATGACCGTTCCCACGAGGACATTCAGTATATGGTGCAGTTTGTTGACGGCAGTTTTCGTGTCGTTCAAAGACAGAGCTAGGGCTCGCCTTTCTCTAAATGCATTGACCTGCAATATAAGAGATATGAAGTGCTACAATATTTTTTGTGATAGAAACGAACATAAAAGTTAGAATATATTTATATTTCACTCTTTCTATTATAGATATATACATGAACTGCAGTCTTCAATTAGCATTAGTGTATTCAGCCTAAGCACAAGCAAGCAAACCCATCTGCTTGGGGTTTTCAGAGTAGAGCTTCCAAATCAATTTTTCTATTAAGGGCTTAAATTGAGTAGTCCACAATATATCAGGTCACCCAAATATTTCTATCACACATAAAGAATTTTAGGGCAGGGAATCTTTTGAGGATTAAACAAGACAGGTCTGTGTGAAAAAGCTTCTAGTATTTGTGAAAAATCAGCATCGCCTAGTATATCTGTGTGTTTTAATTTTGTTTTGTTCATTTTTACTCCCGGAGTTCAGGATTGAGGTTTATCCATAATGGGGAACATTTTACAAAAAGAGAACAAGGATTAAAATAAACTAAAGAACAACGCTTCAAAGACTCATACCTGCCAACATGGCACTGTGCACCGTCTAGACCATGATTCACTAACAAGGTTATCCCATACCTGGGCAGAAACTAACAGTTGTTGACGAAGTTTGACTGGGTTGACCAAGAGTTGATCCTGGTTTGGACTTCGATAACTTGTTTGCTTTAATAAATCACATACGACAAGCATGTTCTACTAACCATTAGCTTGGTTTATCTTCTTTTGGCTGGAGATCCTTTAATTTAATCATTAGAATGAATGGTACTGCATACTATATTATCTAATTCTTGCATCCAATAAAGGACTTCCAGAGAGATAAAGAATGTTTGTTACTTTCAGTTAAAAGATATAGCACGTTGTCTTTGTTGAGGTTCTCAAAAATTCTAATTAAAACTTATCTCTGTTTCCCCAACAAAATGGCCATAAGAGATATTATGATACAGATTTTATGCTGTAAGAGACTGTCTGTAAGAGGTTATTGTTTGACACAAATAAGTTGGAGAGAAAATAAAATAAAGCCCTCATTTCAAAATTATGTAAACAAACCTTCATTTTTGTCAAAAATCCGAATTTGCCCACACCCATTCTTCTTCACCCAACTATTCCTTTTAGCCAGTCCCAGCTACCCACGCCTCCCTCCCCCATAAACTACAGGCATGCTTTGCTATAACCATGGACAAGAAAGTAAGGCCTCAGAATTTATGCAAATGTATCTCTCATCGGGCAGACACCAAATGACACGGACTGGAAGGCCTTGCTAACACAGAAGTAAGCAAAATTTAAACTTTATACAATGGAGCAGATATATCTCACTCACTATTTTGAACTGATGACAAGATCCCAAAGGAAAGGGGGGAAAGGGTATAATTTTACTTACCACCCAATTTTTAAGAGCTCGTTTGCTTATCCCCTTGTTTTCGTTTGCTCCTTCAAAGAGGCGCATGGCCTTCAAAACCTCATCCTCTCTCATAAAGCGCATCAAATCCTCCTGGTAAATGAATCTAATCACAGAAAGACAAGCTACTAAATCATACAGTTTACAAAAATAAATTGGAATCAACAGAAAACTGAAATCCATAACAGCATGTAAATATTAAATTAAAGTTGGACTTTCCGTAAATATATTATGTGCTGCTCTACATTTTTTAGTGAAGTCGTGATGTCTTGAGAAGAGGATGGAGTTTTTGGCTGCTTGGTTCAAATGGGAACCTTCAACCAGATATCCTAAGTCGGCTGTAATGAGTTCTCTAACCCCAATAATCTACTTTGCACTCTTTATTGCTTAAAGAATGTCAATATCCGAATAATCTATTTGTCCATGCACCCAAGCGATGGTATTAACATAATGACACAGCTCAATTTCAAATCACCAACGCAACAAAATCAATGATGTAAATCGAGGAAAGGAAATAATTTGGAAGCATACATTTAAAAATAGCAAGTTTCCATGAATAAACTAAGTTAAAATCTTCAACTTCATGGATGAAAAACTTACTTCGATCCAGGCCGGGCAACGTTGTTGAAGATCTTCCTGGCTGCAGTTTTTGCCTCTTTTTCACTAGTGATCTCCACTGCCGACTCATCCTCATCAGTTGAGCCCTGTAATTTCTCATCCAGGGTAGAAAGCGCGCCTTTCCGAACAATATTAATCAATCTCTTCATATTCCAAGCTGAAATATTCTTCTGATTCAGCCTATGCAAATGATCAATCGTAATACCAGCCTCCTCTTCCTTCTTCGACATTATCCGAGAAAACACAGGAGTCTTTGCACCCGTAGCCATGGGACTCTTCCGGGGCGTCCCAAACACTTTCCCACTCTTTGGAAACACATTTGCCTTGAGGTCAGCTGGGATATTCACCCCAGCACTCTGAAGCTTCTGAACCTCGGCTATCACCTTCTCCTCCTCTTCTTGCTCGTGTTGAATCTCAATCAATGGTGGACCAGACAGTGTCTCAATGACATACTGATTAAACAAAGATTCTTGAATCCGATCAAAAAATGTGCTGACATGAAACGAGGATGCTAAAACCTTAACTAGCAAGGTCTTGAACAACCAAATCAATGTCCCAACCAAGAGACATACCCAAATCTTAGTCACGTAAGGCAAAACATTCCCTTTTGTAATTCTCTCAACCTTCTTATCAAAAATGCATTGCCAAGCAATCAAAACAAGAGCCAACCATACACAATTCTGCACTGGATTTCTCAAGCCGTAAACGAAATACAACACCCGTTTCCGCAACAAAAAGTTCCTCTCAAAGAAGAACACAACAATCCTAATACCCCACCCGGAAACCAATCTCCCAGAAATCAAAACCAAAACCATCAATTCCCATTTCCATAATTCCAATGCGAAAATAGTCTTCTTCTTTAACGGATTAATAATTAAACTACAAACTAAAGCCGCGATAATCAGAATCAAGCTCACCAATTGAAGAATCGAAAGTGCACTGAACTTCATTTTCTTGTAATCCTCAGGCAAATCTTCATCTAGAAACGGGTCGTCTTCATCGATTTCACTTCCTTTCCCTAAAACCTGAGATTTTGCGGTTCTCTGATTCAGGGATTTCTGATTGTTCTCCGGCGGGTCAAGTAATCGGGACTTGGTTTTGTTTCTAAGGAAACTGGATTTTCTCCGGAAAGATGAGTTGGAGCTGCAAACTAGAACCTCCTCCGGCTCGGCGTTGGACCTGCGGTTTGAGCCCCGAACCGCTGCTGTCTCTGCCTTGTTGTCGTTGAACGATACCCGGACTTCCTTCGGCGTCAACTGGCCGTAGTTGGTACTCGGACTCTCAGCTATACGAGATAACGGAGACTCAGTTACGAAATCGAAATCCTTGTTGTTCGCAGCAGCTCTCATAACGGCGTCGTTGGAGAAATCGTAACTCGAGTCCCTCCACATTCTACCCGCATTATTAGTACTAGTATTCTCGCTGGTTTTAGTGGGTTCCTTTAAGGAATCTTGGCCATTGATTTTGACGATAACGTCTTTAGGAGGGGAAGGAGAGGAGGTGGATGACGATGAAGTCATAGCAGTGAAGGCGGTGCCGACAGCAAAGGTGGCGGAGTTAGTACCACTGTTAATGTTATCTACAGTGATGGGCTTTTGGTGAAGAAGCAGATTTTGGAGTTCTTCTTCTTTCTGGGGGCTGGATTGGGGGGATTTGAAGGATTTTTTGAGCTTTTCCATGTTATAAAAATGGTGGTTAACCAATCTTTATAAACTCTTGTGAATTCACAAAAAAAAAAGGAAAATTATATTATAATTTATAATTATTAGAAATGATTGATGAGTTGTCGTGCGAGAGGATTAGAAAATACCGGAAACGCCTGCATTGGGTTTGGTGAAAAGGCGTGTGAAGACTGTAAGCTTTGGGTTGACAACGTAACGGAGATGGGGAGTGGCGAAGGATCGAGTGCGTACAGATGGC